AGCAGGCGGGAAACTCAGCAAGGCATTCAGTCTATGGGCAAAACTCAGAAATCAATTGTGTGTTTCAGTCCATGTTTGGACGGGTCATCACACTACTCCCCCCTCAAGAGCGAGGTCCCTTCGAGCGAGTAACTCATTCTGAGTCCTCGACAAACGCATTGTAGGCAAGCAGGGCAAAGAGATTCCAAGAATACTCTGTCGCAGTGAGCTTTGCAAAGATCTTAGGTGTAGCGTTAGTGGCGATTTGTCGCTCGTAGGCTTTAACAACGCGCGGTGCGCTGCATAGCAGTTCTTGCTTGGAAATCCAGTACAGATCATCTAACGGATGATACATAAAGTGAACCTGGTACTGTCTGTTGCGTCCCTTCCCTACGTGCTGTTTAATTCAGTCTATATCATGCCCACCTTTGATTGCGCGAGGGATCATATCCTCGCGATAATCAAATGTCTTCGCATCACGGTGGAGGTACAGTTTGGATGCATGGAACACGGGGTATGTGCGCAGATGGGCTGGCACATCAACTACGTACGAAGGGCCAAAGTGGTCTTCGCCAATCACATCCAAAACTTCCCACGGTCCGTAATAGAGTGGGAGAAGTTTGCGAGAAACCCCTTCTTCTTCTGAGAATTCAGACATCTTGACCTAGACATAGTTTCCTACCTGAATGTCGGACGGTCGGCGCCCCTTGTTCGCGTGATGGATCATGGCATGATGTCGCTTGGTCATGGCTGCAATGGCAACCTTGAGCAAGCGATCATACTTGGGCCTGAAGCCAGGCCTTTCGGGTGTTAAGCCAACTGGTTACTCAGGAAATAGGTAGGAGAGCGGATTATGGATCTGCCAACCGAGATGCAGCCTGTTAGGTGCCATGCCGGTTGCAGAATGGATGGAGTTGTTGTACAACCCCCTAACGGAATACAACTCTTCATCCCATGTTTTCTGATCCGGGATAATCAAAGCGTGGAGAAGTTGGAACACAGTCTGGTTGATTTCTTCAGCCAAACCGTTGGCTTTAGGGTGTCGGCCAGATGTCATACACAACCTGATCCCCGAATGAGATGTGAAGTCCTTCTATTCAGTACTAATGAAGCGCGGGTCCCGATCGCTTACGAGAGTCTTCGGGGTCCCGAACTGCAGAATGTACTTCTGTTGGAACTCACGAATCACTAATTTTGTTGGGGCGTGCGACGACAAAGGGATCAGATTGAGAAACTTAGAGAATCAGTCAACAATCACCATGACTTGTGAGTAGCCGTTCTTACTTACCTTTCCCATGTTGGTGAAATCAACGGAGACGGACTCCCCGGGACCATCGGGAATGGGAAGGGGTGCGAGTAGCCCCATGGCCTTTTGTCTGCATGGTTTGATTCGTTGACAGACTTGACACTCAGCCACAAATTTTTCAGCAGTCCCTTTCATGCCAAGCCAATCATACTGTCGCAACAAATTTGCGTACGTCTGCCATGCCGAAGTGTCCGCTCCGGCCATGAGACGAATCCAGAGAAAGTGTGTGCGGAGAGGCTCATGGTTGGGCACACACAAACGGTCGTAGTTCCCGTAGCGACGAAAAAAATAAGTCCTCCATACTCGTGAAAATCAGGCTGACTGCTAGGGTCAGCCCGTAGCCACTCAAGGATAGAACCAAGCTCCGGATCCTTGGCGGTGTGCTCTACGAGATCCTCCTTCAGTTTCTTCCGGAGGTCGTAGGATTTGACAAGGCAAGTCATCTACTCGGGGTGGCGAGACAAAGCGTCAGCTACTCGGTTAGAACAACCCTTTTTGTGTCTTAACTCGAAATCGAAAATGTCAATTTCATGGAACCAGCGAAGCAAGGTAGGGGACAGGGTAGTTCGCTGTTTGATCCACTTCAGAGTCTCATGATCTGAGAAGACTTTGAAGTGGCGTCCCAAAAGATAGTGTTTCCAGTGGTCCAACGCCATACGC